TCACAGCAGATAACCTGGAAAGGGAATGCTATGAGGAACTCTGCAATTACGAAGAAGCCAGAGAAGTTTTTGAAGACTCCCATAAAACGGTACTGGTTCAAACTGAGCTTAATATATTGAGGGAGGTCACTGCCTAAAACATTGCTATACACTAATCCTGTAGCCCCTCTGACACAGCACTTAAAGATGAGTGCTTATTTTCCTCTAAGAGCAGATAACCCAGTTAGATGAGGTTATTGCTCTAGATACACAGTGAATACACTTGAATAAGTACTGTTGTCTTCAAGATTTTAGATAAGGGCTCTAATTCTACTACCAAATGGAAATGAAACTTCAGAAGCCCCACTTGTGGGGATTCCTGTATGTTTTCAGACTTCTTTTTTTTTTTTTTTTTTTAGTATCTTGTCAGCATCCAATTTAAACGTGTTCAATGCTCTCTGTATTCATTTGGTGATCACATCCTTGAGTCTTGCCAAAGAACTGTTTTAGAAAAGACCAGGAGCAAATTCAATGTTCAGCTTTAGCTTCTAAATCTCTACCTATATGTAGCTGGGAAAAGCCTGGTATAATAAAAAGAGAAAAGCACGTAAGAAACCTTTCAGCCCAATAAGGGAGTGTGAGGATTGGCTGAAGATTGGCCATTGCCACATGCAGCAAGAATCAATTTGTGATTCTGGGTGGGCTCTGCACTAACCTGCAGAAGGAGCAAGGAATACACTCCTGTTCTGAAGGTGGAAATGTTAGTTTGCCATTGTGAACATGTTCCTAGGAAAAAGGTGAAAGTGTTGAATTGGAATCTTGGTGGAGTCTTTTGCTGGGTAGCAGAAGTGGAAGTTATAGCTAAACATATTTGATGGCTGATGTTTGTGCAACATGAAGGTTTATGTCTTAAATGAATCCCATTATTTTTCCTAGCTCATAGGAATTCAAATACTAATATATGTACAAATGTCAGATTCTCAAGAACTTAACTTTACCACATAAATACTCTTTTGTGGGGATTTACAGAGATGAATTTTAAGCACTTTTTGTGTCAAAATATATGGTAACTTCTGCTGTCATCAGGCAGAAGAGGAGGCAAGGTTGGACAGTTAAGTGCACCTTTCTCTTCCACCAGCTGGAATTTTTTTCTGTGTGAAATACTGATGCAGACTTGAATGTATACCAAAAATATTGTGGGATGAGCAAGTGCAAATCCTT